GAAATAGTACATGTTTTATAAAAGTTGAGTGGTGTGTTAACAGAAGAGAAGACTGTATTGGGCTGATTTGGGACTATTGGAGAAGAATAAAAAACAATTCCTCTAAATCTGAAGTAAGCCCACTTCTGAAGGAACCAAAATGATACTCCCATTTCTCATTGGTGATTTATAGCTTGTGAGAGCCAGGGATGTTGTGTTATGTGTGTAATATATTAGATTCTGTTTAATTTCTCTGTCACTTTTGTTTTTTAAAAATAGTTCTTCCAGAAAGGAGGCGTTTCAGAAGCACTTAATGAACGGGAGCTCTTCAATGCTGTTTCAGGTTTAAATATTACAGCTGACAACGAAGCGGATTTCCTAGCTGAGGTATAATTTTTTTTTTCTTTTTTGTGGGTCTGGCAGTAGTTTCACTCACCTGTCTAGCAGCCAACCAGTCATGGCTTCAACTTTCTGGATTCTTATTTGTATTTATAATCACTAATCATGTTAATTGTTGAAATTATAGCTATTGCACATTTCTCAAATTTTGAATGTTACTTGGTAGCAATAAAAGCTGAAATTGGCAAACTTTAGTGGTAGTATGTTAAGGGCTTTATTTTTGTTAAGTTTGAACTAAAAAAATCCAGTGTTCCCTGAAATTGAGGGTTAAAACTGTTTCTCACAGAAAAGGAAACTGCCCAAATCCGCTTCACATGCAAACTTCCTACTGTTTTTGTTTGTTTTGTTCTGTTTTCAGTCACCATAATGTGTTTATTTCAGTTCAAATTTACTGCATTTAAAGCTTACAAACTAGGACTTTCTCTTTCTAGGACCACCTGAATTTATGCATCTAAATTTAGTTTCATGGTTTTGGGGTAGGGGTTAAATCTTGGACATGATATAACTCCTTTTTAAATGTGTCCAGATGTCATCAGTTACTCTTGGCATGAAATGTGGGATTGTTTGTAGTCATTTTAAAGTGGTGTCAAACTTATTACTCATGTACTAGTTAAAAGGGCACTTTTTAAGGACAGTAAGTTAATTCAGTGTTGTCTTGTGACCTTCTTTATAGGCTCAAATTCTCTCCTATGGTACCCTATCCTACTAGTACAGAGGTGGGCAAAATGCAGCCCAGGGGACAGATGTGGCCAGCCAGGCCTTTCTATCCGGCCTGTGTGGCCCCTAAAAATTTAGAAAATTAGTATTAATCTCCCCGTGTTTGCCTGTCATGCAGCCCTTGATGGCTTGCCAAAACTCAATAAGCTGCCCTCCGCCCAAAGTAATCGCCCATCAGTGTACTAGTACCAGTGATATTTGCTTTGGCACTTACTTCAAAAAGCTCCACTTTGATCAGCTACACTGGACAATGGCTGTGCTCCAGCTGAGAAGCAGTGTCCTTTGAAGTAAAAGCTGCAGTAAACAGCTGTGTGACTCATCCTTTATCAGCAACCTTCTGTGAATAAAGTGGGTTGCTAACCACACAGATGAGAAGAATCTGTGTTATACTTTATAGTGCAGAAGCATGCTCAGGATGGATATTTTAGATCTGTTTTAGACATTGGGCTGGCTGTAATGAAGATGCCTTCAGGCAAAGAAAAATAAAAATGAGACACAATATAGAATAGTGATAGGTTCCCTAGAACTTCACAAGTTGGTTTATCTCCACTCTAATGCTGACAGAAGCATTCATGCCTAATTGAGTTGTAAGGCTGGGACAGTCCCCTGGGACATTCTCCTGCAAAGTATTTTCTGAATACTTTTGTTCTGTGCATCTATCTCTACCTCTTCTGCCAAATCATGTTGACACTGATTTGTCATTTCACTGCCATGTAAATCAAATTTGGGTAGCCAGTCCCTAATTTTTATAATTCCTGCTACTTTAAAATCACTTTCTTCAAACCAACCCCTGCTAGCTGCTTGGATTTTTTTTCTCTTTCTTTTTATCCATCTCTCCTTTGAATATCACAGAAAGAAGTGCTACATGGACATTTCACAGTCTGTAGCCTAAAACTGGATACATAGTCACATTCAAACATTTGACTACTTTCTATTCTGCCTTTTCCAGTAATATTCTTACCAGGAGTGGATCAACTTTTTTTTTTAAGGCCATTCTAAAATTTCTCTCTTACTCATTGGCAGACAACATTCTTTGGGTAAATGTGGCATCTTTTATTTGACCAACTAAAATAGTTGGGGAAAAAATTGTTCTTTTGCAAGCTTTTGGGCACAAACACCCTTCTTCAGACATAGGGAGTCTGTTACTCATACATAGCTGAGTTGCAGCAGAATTCATTAGGCTTGGAGAAACTGGCAGTTAACTATTTTCTTCAAAAGTACTTGGTACTATCTGTGTGGAAAACCACTACCTCAAACTCTGCTTCCAATCTCCCCACTACCAAGCTGGTACTTGTAACTGAAACCATACAAGTATCCTTATCTGCTTCTAATGTTATGAGGGCAACTGCATTTCAAGATGCAATATTTGTAAAACACTGTATACATGATAAACAGATTTTATGAACGCTAATATAGTAAAACAATTGAACTGAGTTGCACTGGTCTTTTATAGAATGGGTGGCGAGCCTATGACACAAGTGGCACAAGTCAGCCTCTGTATGTGGCATATAGCAGATGGAGGAGGGGATAGGCAGTACAGCAACAGATAAGGTAGATAACAGAGCAACAAATCAAGCAGGGGGTATAAGACAGGAAGCAAAAGCAGAGCAAAAAATTGGGTAGAGGGCAGGAATCAGAGTGGCACTTGAGAAGAATGCAGGGCTGACTTTGTGGTGTGTCTGCCAGAAAAGTTGGCTCCAACTGTTATAGGATCATTTTATCATTTTTTCTTGAAATGTATAGGCATGTTCCTAAACAGCTTCACGATCTTTTTTATTATTATTTTCTAGATTGAAGCTTTGGAAAAAATAAATGAAGATCATGTCCAGAACTATGGAAAGAAATTTTCTGCCTTTTCAAGCGATGGGGATCCACCACTAATATATGATGAATAGCACTGTGTGTGTGTGTGTGTGTGTGTGTGTGTGTGTGTGTGTGTGTGTGTGTACACCTGTTGTTTATAAAAAACAACAACAAAAGTTTACTGCTTCTAACCATGTTAGTGCAGTGGTAAATGTCTGCTACCAATGGCAAGGCAAGTAAGTAGTGGTTGATCTGGAATACCAAAAAGGAAAACAAGGAGTGTACACTGGTGCTTCAGTGTGTCTTATATTAGCCCACAAGTCAGTTCAGCACTGTGAGAATCGAAAGTCACTACCTCTTCTAATGTTCTTACAATTTAACCAAACTTTCAGTTATGTTAGACAATTGTAGCTGAGCTAATCATATTTGCATGATCCAGAACTTAAGTATTTAAAAAATGGGGACAGTTCTTTGTTTAATTTCTAAAACGTGTGGTGGGAGATGAGCAGAAGTCCCTCTTCTCCTTCCCATTACTACCCTAAGACCTATCTGATTACAAATTGTGTATAGACACAATATATGTTTGTTTTTTAAGTAGAAATTCAAATGAAAAAGCAAACTATGGATAATAGTCACTTAAAATATTACTGCCAATTGAAAACAGACTTTGTACTTTTAAAATCTATTCTTGCTGAAAGTAAATGAAATTGCCCTGTCTAAACTGGGTGTTACATGAAAATGGAGAATACCTGAACCGTCCAGTAGAGGACTGGCTTGGTAGTATGTGAGTTTCTTATGGCAGCACCCAAATCCTAAAACAGAGCAGACTTGCAGCTGTTCTCATCTCTAACATAGAGATGCCTTCAGAGACTACATGGAAGGTCAAAATAAATTCTCTGTAGTCCTTTTCCAAATAGCATTGAAACTGTAGGGTGACATTTGACTTCCTGATTCAGCTAAACAAAACCCAGTTCACAGAACCAAAGTTGAGTATCAGAATTTATTTAAAAAAAGAAAAAATGAACAGAGGTTTTTCTTCTACTGAAGTAAAAGAATAATTCAGAGTGCTGTAAAGGTTTTCTTTAAATTATTTTAGTTAAAATGCCAATTTTTCTCATATACATTTTATATGTAACATTTTTAATTTTAAAAAAATCTAAGTCTAGCAAGGCCTAAAGCCTGACAAAAGGTTATTGCTTCACTAAAACAATACATTGGAAGAACTGACTTAGTGGGGTGATAGGAATCAAGAAAATCCTAAGGGTTAACTCATTTTTCTGTACTTTTCTGATTGCTATTTGTAACGCTGCTCTTTATCAAGCAGGATATATTGTTGGTGTGTATTACATTCTCACAGTGTGTTGTGAAAGTGCTGCTTTTTTCTAATGAAAAATGAAGGGTGAAGTAAAACTTGTGGCTGAATTTTTGTGTAGTTCTTTGTCTGACCAACTGCATTGACTTTGGTTAATCTTAAAACCTTGTGGGCAACGGATCACTCTGAATTGCTGTTAAAAATGGGACTTAACAATGTTGTTTAACTAGTCTGAAAACATTTAAATTTGGGGTCTACCACACCCACCTCCAAGAATCTCTGAGTACTCTTGCCTCTAGTAGCAGGAAATTTTTAGATGTGTACTGACCATTGTTAGTTGCTTTTTAAATCAGTACATAAAATGGTAATACAAAGCCCCCAAAACATGTGGAGAAGTTGTGGAGATAATTTAGCAGGATTTTAAGCACAAGTAAGGTGGAGTTTTTTTTTGGGGGGGGTGGAAGGTATTTCGCTAGAAGAATTAACATTGCACTTCAAAATTGCAGTTATTTTAACTCAAAACAGAACAATGAGCTAATTTCTTAAAGAGATTTGCAAAATCTTTTGCTGCAGGTGTCCTCACTATTTTGGCTTCTAGTGAAGTACTCTAATGAACAAATACCTTATAGTTTTTCTGTTTTCAGAACAAAGTGCAAACTCTAGCTGAACCCAAGTAATTCGGAACAGATCTGCCGTTTGTTCCATACCAGGTGTAGGAGTAGTTCATAAATCGGCATTAGTGCTTTGCTCTATCAGTGGTTCCAACCCTGTAGATCAGTGGTCACCAACTAGTGGATCTCAGATCCTCTTGGAGTCTGAGGCTGGGGTGGGCAGGTGCGTCCCAGCCCAGCAGGTCCTGTGAGGGAAGGGCAGAGGGCTAGATCCAAGGCCCCCGCAGTGAGGGACAGTGCCATAGAGGCAGGAGCAGGGGTAAGTTGAGTGGGGCCCTGGCTGGGTGGGACTTACCTGCTGGGGGGATGTACCCCCAGATACTTGCACCTCCTTCCCTCCCTACAGACTTACCTTCTTGGTGGGGGGTGGTGACAGTGCACAGTAGATCTTGGGTTGCTTTTAAATGCCAAAGGTGATCTACTTAAAAAGGTTGGTGGCCGCTGCTTTAGGGACTGGAGTCCCCTCTTGGAACTTGCACAGACCTGATCTATAGGTTGCCGGTTGTCCTTCCCCTCCCTCCTCCTGTGGCCGGGAGTTTCGAAGAATTTCCAGAGCCAGTAAGTGTTGGCTTCAGCCAAGGCTGGGGGTTGACCGGGGTGTGCCCTGCTTCTTTTGGGCCCAAAGCTGGAGGTTCCGGCCTAGGGGGTCTTGCCCCCTGCTCAGGATCAGACTGGTCACCGTGTTGGGGTTGGGCGGGGCCGGAAGCCCGGTGCAGGATCCCGCGCGCCGCCGCGGTTCTTCCCCCGCCCGGGCCGGATCCCGGAGCGGGCGGGGCCTCCCTGAGCACGGTTGCCATGGATACAGCCTCCTCCCGGGGCCGCCCGGCCTGCCACTGGGGGAGGAGCCGGCAGGGCCGAGGGCGGGGCCCCCCGAGCTCTCGCTGAGCGCCTTTAAGGCCCTGCGCCTTTAAGAGCCGGCGGCGCCGGGGTCACGTGGGAGTGTAAACAGGAAGCGGCGGCCGGGCGGAGGCGAGCCGGGCTGGGCAGTGGTATCGGGTCGCTGCCGCTGGCGCCATGAGCCACGAAGGCCGCTACCTGGCGCTGTGCGCGCGGCCCGTGCACTTCGAGAAGGCCAATGCCGTCAACTGCGTCTTCTTCGACGAGGCCAACAAGCAGGTGGGCGCCCCTCCCCCGGCCCCGCCCGGCTTCACTGAAAATAAAACCTTCTTCCTGCCTCCGCTCCAGTCCTGCCGCGGGCGGGGCTTGATCCCCTCCGCAGCCTCCAGTTGAGCGTGGCCGGCCACTCTTCACAGGGCCTCCTCTAGCAGGAAGAGACTCCTTTCCCCCCCGTGCGGACCGCTCTCGCTTCGTATCATCACGCTATGAAAAAAAGCAGTGGCACGAAGCCGCAGCGAGGCGTCCTGCTGGGCGGCCTGACCTCTTCCGCCTGAAATGAGTTGTCACCTGCCAGCTGGAGGGCGAGGCCCGCGCTGTGGCCCGTCTGATCCGCAGCGCCCGGGCCCTTGGGGCTGTGCGAAGGAGGTGCTGGGCTGGCAGTGCTGGCAACAGGGTTATTGGCTTGAGCCTGCTGGGTGATGCCAGCATCCTTCTGCCCTGACTGTCTCCGTGGCAGTGCAGTTATACAGACATGAACTCGTTAGGGCCGTCCAGACTGTGTGTGCTT